TTTCTTTTTTTTAAGATTCCCAATTAGGAATATTAGCCGTAGCTTCGTTCATCATTGTCACCAATGTCACCTGCATTGTGTTATGAGCACTTGATGATCAAGACTGCAAGAAAAACCAAAACCAAACAATTGAGAGAAGATTTGTTGAAGCAATATGTACCACGCTCTCGGGAACACCTTGGGGAGGCAATGTGAGATTTCTTGGGGGCGGTTTATCTCCGTAAGACCGTTTATCGAATCTCCATTCCCCAATCTTCCCGCGCATTATATTCCCCTGTAAATTTATATAACCATATAACACAATATAAAACCAAGCTTATCTAATATCTTCATTAGCTTTGTTTTTTTGCTTCTTATTTGATGATTTATGCACCTTCATGTCGAAATCGCAACCGTAAGTGTAATGTATTATGTAAGTCTTCTTTGACTCGGTGTCCCATGGAGGCTACATCAACAGACAAAACATGAATTGTTATGTTCCTAAAGTCTGAAAATTTTCGGTAGATACCAGATAAAGCTTATTGATCAAAACCTGAATCATGAAGTCTTTGTTAAGAATGTTGCTCACGCCGTGTAACGCTGAAGAAACAGCATATGCATACCTACAATATAACCAACACATAGACCAATTAATCTAACATTATAAGTCTAGAACTTGAGAACAAATTAGAGTAGAGAAAAAGTTACATTTCTAGGACCCAACCAAAAGCTTTGTCTGTTTGTGGGTCATTCTTCATAGCTAAAGAAACGTTCATCCATGTCGGAGCAATTTTCTTCAATGCTTTCTAACAAAACCAAGAAAATTGTTAGTCTAATAAACCATATATACCGCACAAAGACTTTGTCTTGGAATGCGATTACAATACCTTAGAGACGATCACTGGAGAATTCCCGATGGGATCGATTCTTGATATCGGGCCATTCTCCTTGGGGAAGAATTTGCGGAGAACCGATTCATATTTCTTTGGTTCAATGTAGAAAAAGGGAAATGCAGCCCCGAGATTGCCTCTCGCTAGGTTTGGTATCGGTTTAACTATGATATGATCAGGTTCCGCCATGAGAATGTAACTGAGATGATCATCAAGAAAATAGGAAAACATCTGAGCATAAAAAATACATACATTCCCCTACCTAAATATGAAAAGATAAGGTACTGAAAATGTAAAATAATACATTGATACTTACTCTTCCTCTATATGTGCTTGTTGTAGCCATTGCACAAACGCCCAAGGCCTATTCAGAACTACATAACCCTGCACATTTTATCCAAT